GGGGTGGGTTGCATCTGGTGTTGATGGGGTTGGTGCTCATGTGATGTTTATGGGGTTGGTGCCCACCTGATATCAATGGGGAGGGTGACCACGTGGTGCCCATAGGGGAGTCCTCACCTTGTACCAATGGGGTTGGTGCCCACCTGATGTTTATGGGGTGGCTGCATATGGGGTGATTGATGGGGCAAGTGATGGGGCAAGTGTCCACCTGATGTTTATGGGGTGGGTGACTATGTCTTGTCCATGGGGTTGGTGCCCACCTGGCTCCCATGGGGTGGGTGCCCCGTGCCCCCCAGGGAATGTCCCCCCGGGTGGCCGAGAGAAGCACCCCGTCCCCTCGTCACCCCTCTGAGTGGCCACACCCCGTGTCCCGCAGGCCGCAGGGCAGCCAGGTGSCCCCCAGCTCCTCGGACGTGCTGTACCCGCGGCCGGTGGGCGTCCAGCTGCCCCCGCCCCTGCTGGAGCATTACCTGCCCCGCAGCGTGGACCCCACCATGCCCGTCATCGTCAACACCCGCAGCCTCAAGGATGGGGACGCCGGTGACGACGGGCACTCGGTGGCCGAGGGGGACGTGTACCGCTACAGCGAGGACGAGGACTCGGAGGGCGAGGACAAGAGTGACGGCGAGCTGGTGGTGCTGACGGACTGAGGGGGACACGGCGGGTGGCGGAGGGGGTGACAGGGCCGGCTGCCACCCCCGAGAGGTCACAATGTGTCCCGGTGGGACGGGGCTCGGCCGCGGGAGAGCTGCCCACCCACAGAGGGGCCCCACGAGGGTGGGCGCCCGGAATTTTGGGAGGTGCCAGGTGATGAGGATGCTGCTCTGGTGGCACGTGGAGGTGAGGCCACCCAGCCTGGAGATTTGGGTGACGCGGCTGCTGTGCTGTCACCCCTGGAGGGGACCGGAGGGTGTTGGGGTGGCAGGAGAACCCCTGGAGCATCTCCCAGCCCTGCAGCACCTGCGGGACCCAGAGAGCTTCAGCTGGCTTGGCATGGGGACGGGCTGGGGACACGGAGTAGGGACATTGGTGGGGACATGGAGTGGGGACATTGGTGGGGACATGGAGTGGGGACATGGAGTGGGGACATTGGTGGGGACATTGGTGGGGACATGGAGTGGGGACACAGAGTGGGGACATTGCTGGGGGCATGGAGAGGGGACATTGGTGGGGGTACAGTGAAGACACAGGATGGGGACACAGGACGGGGACATGGGATGGGGACACGGGATGGCGACATAGGATGGGGACAAAGAGTGAAGACATGGAATGGAGACACGGACTGATGACATGGATTGGGACACGGATTGGGGACACCAGTGGGGGCCACAGGACGGGGACACGGACCGAGGACATGTATTAGGGACATGGAATGGGGACACGGACATGGAATGGGGACACAGGAGGGGAACACAGTGAAGATACAGACTGGGGACACAGGACGGGGACACAGTCTGGGGACACAGATTGGGGACACAGTGAAGACGCGGATTGGGGACACAGGGCGGGGACACGCTCGCGCGTCCCTTATCCCGGTGTGACCTCYCGCTCGGTGTTTGGAGCTGCCAGCGCATTCCCACGGAGCCAATTTTAGCTCRGGCCCGGCCCCAGCTCCGGCCAAGGGCTCCTCGGGGCCCTTTGTGCTCCCGGCAGCTCTGCCCCACTTTGGGAATAAAGCRGGGGCTGTTCCTGCCCTGCCGGGGGGGGACGGGCCCGAATGTCCCCAGCACCTGTCCCCAAGGCTGAGTCTCCACCTGGGCCCTGCAGGATGAGGGGGAGGGGAAATAATGGACATTAGGGGGGAAAATGAGTTATTAGGGGAAAATGACCTTGTTCTGCTCAGAGCTGGTTGGGCTGGGAGGAGTTGGGGTGCAGCTGTGCTTGAGAGGTGTC